ATATATATATATATATTTAGAGAGTGACCCTAGTTGTACTGTGGAAAATGTACTAGAAAGGGAAGAATAGGGAAGTGATAGTGGCTTAAACTGAGCAACAGTGTAAATGGAAAGAAGTAGATGATGTTCTATACATACAGCTGGAGCTAGAGTGTTTCTTCATTGTCTTCTTGCCGAGTCTACTAAACTGTAGACTTAAGTCTGTCTCATTCTTGAGCTAGTCATCATGGAAACAAGTATTTTGTTTCTGACTCCAAATGATGGGCTTAGAGGGAATGTGAACTATTGTACATTCTAAAACCAAGTCCTGACCAAGGAGTTCCAATGCTTACTATGGAGGATGTGCATTGGTCCACTCTATGCAGCTCACTCCTCTTGTACTTTGGTTCTCACTGTGTGGAACCTGTATCCAGGCACTGTGGCCAGATTACTCCTTTCTACTCTTACCAACAGATCTGAGTTTCTGTTTTAGTCTCTATTACAAGCATCTAACCAGTCCTTGAAGATCATGTCAGTGTCAGAGTCACACTTACATTGTGACAGGGTTTGTCTTGTCTAATAGATATTAGCTGAATAAATGAACAAATGAGCTCTATAGAGAATGCATGAATCCCCATTTCATAAGAGGGAAATTGAGGAGCTGGCAGGTGGCATGGTGGTTAAGGGTGCTGGACTCCCACCTGGCCAAGTCCCAGACCTGGCAACTTGCTTCTCTCTTTCTCTCTCTCTGTCCCTCTCTGGTCAAATTAAAAAATATATATATATATTTTTTTTTTAAAAAAGAGGGAAATTGAGGCTTATATCAAACTGGGCCAAAATGACATCAGTGGTGAGTTACAGTCAGGTTACAGACCCAGATCTCTGACTCCACAGTCTATTAAAATTTATAGGTGATGTGGTGGTTAAGTCACTAAATTCCCACATGGCTGACTGCAGGTCAAGTCCTGGACCCAGCAGCTTGAAAATCACACCAGGCACATGTGTATGCTTGTCCAAAAATCCCAAAGGAAGAATGAAGAAGAGATCACAGTGTGATCATCCCCCATGGAGGGTATTTTCTCACTTTCCCTCTCTGTCTCTCTCTAGTGAATGCACACTCCCTATGGAAAAAAAAAAAAAAAACTAAAAAAAAAATTATATTGATTTTAGACAAAAGTCAAATAAAACAGTTAACTGAAAAAAGTTTCAGGATCAATAAAAAATAAATATATTAGGGGGCCAGCAGTTAGTGTAATGGCTATGTCATTGGACTCCCATGTAGTCGACCAGAGTTCGAGTCCCAGACCTGGTAGCTTAAACTCACACTGGGCATATGTGCGTGCGTGCCCAAAATCCTGAGAGGAGAAAGGAGAAGGGATTGTGGCATGGCCATCCCCCCTGGGGCGTGATTTCTCACTTTCTGTCTCTCTGTCTCTCTGTCTTTCTGGTGAGCGCACACTCCCTATAGCAAAAACCTCTCCAAATTCAAACTTTCTTTGTTTTTTTTTTTAAGAGATTTTTGCTATAGGGTGCATGTGCTCCCCAGAAAGACAGAGAGATAGAAAGCGAGAAATCACCCCCCACGGGGGATGGCCAAACCACAATCCCTTCTACTCCATTCTCTTCTCAGGATCTTGGGCACATACGCACACGTGCCTGGCATTAGTTTAAGCCACTGGGTCCGGGACTCAAATTGTGGTGAACTACATGGGAGTCCAGCAATGTAGTCATTATGCCGTCTGCTGATCCCCAAACTTTATTTCTATCGGCTTTAATTCCTGATAATTATATGAAGTACCCCTTTGACAGCCATTTTAATCTGATTTTATAAAACAATAAATCATCTTAAATATCCAATACATTATTTTAATGACTGAGATTGTATTTTTTGTATGCTATTTATATGTGCACATTCTCTTTATTCTTTTTTTTTGGAGAGGTTTTTGCTATAGGGCGCGTGCGCTCGCCAGACAGACAGAAAGCAAGAAATCACCCCCCAGGGGGGATAGCCACGCCACAATCCCTTCTCCTCCATTCTCCTCTTGGGATCTTGGGCACGCATGCACATGCGCCCGGCGTGAGTTTAAGCCACTGGGTCTGGGACATGAACCGTGGTAGACTACATGGGAGTTCAGCAACATAACCATTACGCTAACTGCTGGTCCCCTATATATGCACATTCTTTGAGAAGCTGTAGGAAAAAAGATACAGAAAATAAAAATATATAACCAATATTTTGTAGTTTGGTTAAATAAGATAAATGTGGTTTCAAAGCTTTAAAATTTGAACCTAAGAGTCAGTTTCCTCACAATCATAAATCAAGTTGACTTTCTTTTTTTTTAAAATAATTATTTATTGGGAACCAGCAGTTAGTGTAATGACTATGTCGCTGGACTCCCACGTAGTCGACCGCGGTTCACGTCCCGGACCCAGTGGCTTAAAACTCACGCCGGGCGCGTGTGCGTGCGTGCCCAAGATCCCGAGAGGAGAATGGAGGAGAAGGGATTGCGGCGTGGCCATCCCCCCTGGGGGGTGATTTCTCGCTTTCTGTCTCTATGTCTCTATCTGCCTGTCTGGTGAGCGCACATACAGTAAAAATCGCTCCAAAAAAAAAAAATTATTATTTATTGTATTTTTATTTATTCATTCACTTATTTTTTTAATTTGACCAGAGAGAGACAGAGGATGAGAGTGAGTGAGAGAGGAAGTGAGAAAGCAAGCCACCAGGTTCAGGACTCGAACCCTGGTCAGCCATGTGGGAGTGTCCAGCGCCTTAACCACCATGCCACCTGCTGGTCCCCTCAAATTGACTTTCATTGGCATTATAAGTAATATAATGGGACTGGCAGTACACTACCTCAAGTATGCAAAGAAACTTAAATGGATTATAAGTCACTCAATTCCAAGCTTTGAAGAAGGTAATTTCCTAGAATATGTTTAATCATTATTCACAGTTTTTAAAGGCATGTGTGTAAATGTTTTATGACTGTCCACAGGTTCTAAATTTTATACTCACTCTTTCATGATACTTTTGGTTCTTTTCCCTAAGTTTTTTCATTTGAAACATGAATCGCTCTACTGCATTTTCCTTTATTTGACAGCTGAGAATAAACCAAAATAAGATATGTTACAATTGTATATCTTAGAAAAAAATGGTAGGTAAAATTTAAAAACTAAATTGTTTGAATTCAGGTAAGTTATTTGAATTCAAGTAAATATTCGCGATATTATAAAGATCCATTTAGGGACACAGGCATTTTCTGAACAATTTTTTGTGTTTCTGATTCTCTTTTATTCACTAAAATATATATTGGAAAGATAACTTCAAGGTTTTTTTTAAAAACAATCTCTAGTCATAGTTCGTAGTTAAAATTTTATGATAATTACCTATCAATAATTTATATGAAAGGAAATTAGGAAAGGACGCACAAAAAACATGCTCTCTACAGTTCTAAAAACATTCAGACAAAAATGACAGACTCTATAAGAGAATGGTCAGTGGATGGCAAAGTGGTTAAGGCAGTGGAATCCCATATGACCAATTGTGCAGTTTGAGTCGAGGACCTGGTGGCTTAAAAAACACACCATGCAAGTGTGCATACATGCCCAAAATCCTGAGAGGAGAGTGGAGGAGAAGGGATTGTGGCATTGCCATCAGGGTGCCTTTTCATGTTCTCTGTCTCTTTCTCTTTCTTTCTGATGATCACATGCATTCCTATAGCAAAAAAAAAGAAAAAGAAAGAAAGAAAGAAAGAAAGAAAGAAAGAAAGAAAGAAAGAAAAAAGAAAGACCTTATAAGGGCAAGAACACCTTCTTGAAATACCAAGGTAAGGTAAACTGGACATGCCTATTGGTTCAAGTTCGGTAGTATACAATTTCTCCTGTAGATAATGAAAGCTTCTTTTGGACCAGCTCCTTGGCCTGCTCAAAAGAAGCTGGATCCTACATGGCAACTGCAGTTTGAATCTCTGGCCTGTTTAGCCTGAAACTTTGACTTTCAACAAATGTATGTATGTGCTTTTTTTTTTTCTTTTTTTTAAATCTAGCTAGCTAGCTGGCCATCGTCTATCTAGAGATAGAGTCTTCTTGGGTTGCTAGGCTGGCCTTGATTTGTGATCTTTCTGTCTCAGCATAGCTGGGATGGGTGTACATCACTGACATGATTTTCAGTATTTTTTAAAAAATCTGCAACCATATCCACATTTTTTTTTTTTAATTTACTGTAGGGCTCGTGTGTTTGCCAGAGAAAGAGAGGGAAAGTGAGAAAGCACCCCTTGCCCGCATGGGGAATTGTCACACTACAATCCTTTTGCCTCTGTCTCCTTTTGGGATTGTGGGCATGTTTGTCAAGATGTCACATCTGGGACTCAAACTGCATAACTGGCCATGTGGGACCCACTTATCTTAACCACTGTTCCAGAGCCTGGCCCCTGCATCTATTTCTTTCTCTTTCTTTCTATCTATCTATCTATCTATCTATCTATCTATCTATCTATCTATCTATCTCTACCTATTTATCTGTGTGAGTGTGTGTGTGTGTGTGTACACTCACTGTAAATACCTGGGGAAAAAAACAAGAATAAAGGAGAAAAGAAAAACCATCATTGGGACTAGCAGTTAGCGTAATGGCTATGTCACTGAACTCCCACATAGTCTACCACGATTCGAGTCCCAGACCCAGTGGCTTAAACTCAAACCGGGCGTGTGTGCGTGCGTGCGTGCCCAAGATCCCAAGAGGAGAAAGGAAGAGAAGGGATTGCAGCATGGCCATCCCCCCTTGGAGGTGATTTCTCACTTTCTGTCTCTCTGTCTCTCTCTGTCTTCCTGGCAAGCGTACATGCCCTATAGCAAAAACCTCTCAAAAAAAAAAAAAAGAGAAAAGAAAAAAGATCATTATCAGAGACAATTATTTTATAGATTTAACACTGGTAGTAACAGCACTTTACAAACCATATAAGTTTATGACATTTTCTTGTTATACATTTTTTTCTTTTCTAATTTGCCAGAGGGTGGGGCTGAAAGGTGGTGTGACGGTTAGAGCACTGGCTGACCATGCTGACCATGGTTCGAGTTCTGGACTTGGTGGCTTCTTTTCTCACTTTCTCATTCACTCTCTCTCCCTGGTCCACTTAAAAACATAAAAATAATAACAAAGAAAATTGAACTAATAAATAATTTAAGATAATTTGCCAAAGGGTACGTGGACTCATTGGAAAGAGAGAGAGAGAGAGGGGAGAGAGAGAGAACCCTCTATGGGGAAGAACCAATCACCACAATCAATCCCTCTTCCTCTATTTCTCCTTTTTGGGATTTTGGGCACATACCTGACATGTTTGTCAAATTGCCAGATCTGGGACTTGAACAATATAGCCAGACTTGTGAGATCCAGTCACCTCAACCAACACACCACAGAATGGCTTAGAATACTTTTTTTTTTTTTTTAAGTTCAGTTTTTTTTTTTTTTGGAGAGATTTTCACTGTAGGGCGCGTGCACTCGCCAGACAGACAGAGAGAGACATAGAGACAGAAAGCGAGAAATCACCCCCCAGGGGGGATGGTCATGCCGCAATCCCTTCTCCTCCATTCTCCTCTCGGGATTTTGGGCATGCACGCACACGTGCCCGGCGTGAGTTTTAAGCCACCAGGTCCGGGACATGAACCGCAGTCGACTACGTGAGAGTCCAGCGACATAGCCATTACGCTAACTGCTGGTTCCCAAGTTCAGTTGTTTTAAAACTATTAATCCGTGGGACCCGTGGATGGCATAATGGTTACGCTGCTGAACTCCCATGTAGTCAAACATGGTTTGAGTCCTGAACCTGGCTGCTTAAAACTCACACTGGGCACGTGTATATATGCATCCAAAATCTTGAGAGGAGAATGTGGAGAAGAGATGTAGCATGGCCATCCCCACTGAGAGGTGATTTCTCACTTTCTGTCTCTCTGTGTCTCTCCAGCAAGCACATGTGCCCTTCAGCAAAATTTTCAAAAAATTAAAAAAAAACTATGAATCCACTGTCTACTGTGTGCTCGTTGTTTTGCTAGAAGCTGAGATCATATAAGAGAAATATAACTTATTGCTAGAAAATCCATGGACAATCCTTCCTCACATGGTGAGAGGGAGCGTCTTAGTTACTGTCATGTGACAAAAGTTCTGTCATCGTGGAATGTGATCCATAAATTGTCACTAACAGAGCGCATGATACAGCAAGGCCTGGGTCCAGTCCATGAAATTATTTATTTAATTTTAAGAAATGAAAGAGAACAAAGGCATGGGATGTTCAGTTTATATCTTGCCCTTGATCATGGGATTTATTTTTCCTCTTTGAAAACCTCTGTTAAAGAAGAGAAAGATTGGCCTCTAGTTGACCCAAGAGAGAAACAGCTGTAACTGGATGTCATCACTGTAAACTGTGGGAGCAAAAATTAGTGACCAGGTTGTATTAATTGAATCTGACATTTTATTCATCTCTCCTAAGATTGAGATGAAAGAAGTTTTTGGTTATGTTGCAAAATGAGTATGACTCATACAGGTTATCACTAATGTTACCTTGAATCTGAAAGGAAACTGAAAATCCCCTTCCCACAGATATTTCTCTCTTACTGGTTTGCCCCTTTTCCTCACTGTTTTCCAATAAACAAATGAATACATTTGGTATCTTTTGGGAGAAGGATGGTTTTCTGTGAATGTTGTTAAAAACAATTTTCTCTAATAAAAACCCAGTCATTAGCATCATGGGCTTCGGGCTTTCAATCCTTTACCCTTCCAGTGAATAGTTTCTCATTCCCAAATCCTAAATGTTCTTCTTGATCTGATCCTGGCCTAAATCACCAGCTCTGGGGACCAGCAGTTAGCGTAACGGCTATGTCGCTGGACTCCCATGTGGTCGACCGCGGTTCGAGTCCTGGACCCGGTGGCTTAAACTCACGCTGGGCACATGTGCGTGTGTGCCCAAGATCCCAAGAAGAGAATGGAGGAGAAGGGATTGCGGTGTGGTCATCCCCCCTAGGGGGTGATTTCTCACTTTCTATCTCTCTGTCTCTCTCTGTCTCTCTCTGTCTGTCTGGTAAGCACGCTTGCCCTATAGCAAAAACCTCTCAAAAAAAAAAAAAATCACCAGCTCTGACCCTTGATCTGACCTTTACCTAAATCACTACCCTTGACCTCTCTGACCTCTCTGCCTCATGCTGTCTACTCTCAGTTCCTGGATCATGGTCTTTCCCATCCTTGGATCTTTTCTATAAGCCTTTCTCTTCACCACTTGGTGTCCCCATAACACCTGTTCCTCTTCCAAAGAGCACCTCAGCTATGTCTTCTTTAAACAAGATTTGCCCAGCATTCCGACTAGGTCAAGCCTTTAAGTGATACCAGTAAACAGAGCACTCTACACTTTTCTTTCATAGCAGTTTTATGATAGATATATACTTTTCTTAGGAGTATATATTAGCTGTTTAATATCTGTTTCTCATGCTTCATCAGCGCAGGGACCATGTGGTCTTGTTCTCTGCCATATTCCAGTACCTGGTACTTGTGTACCTGGTATATCCTCAAGTATGTGTGGAATGAGTACACAAATAAAGTACATTTCAGTCTTACTTGGGCAAAGATGAACACTTGCCCATTAACTTCCTGAGGATTACATATTAAAATGCTTGTCCTGTGCAATATGGGGTTCACAAGCTCTCAAGGGGCTTATTATCTATTGGCTAGAATAAAACATGACAGTATAATAGAGTGTGTTTTAGTCCATTCTATTGCTATTAATAGAAAATACCTGAAACTGAATGATTACTATATACAGAAGTTTACTCTGTTCAGTTTGAAATTCCAAGGTTCAAGAGGGTCTTACAGAGTCTCCAGACATTATATCTCAAGGGGGAGAGCAGAGTCAAGGGGCTGTGTTCATGTCTTTGTTGGTCTCATTTTCTCTCCCTATAAACCCATCAGTAGTCAATCATGTGGATCCTGCCCTAATGACCTTAATCTTAACCTCTTCCCAAAGGCTCCACCTTTTAACAACATAGTCTGCTTAAATTTTAAGTCTCTTAATCCCATCAGAGCCAAATCTCAACATGTGAATTTTTGAGGGAGTTACGAGCCCTAAAAAGTGTCACATCTAGTTTTGTCTTCACTTCTCAAAAGTGAGACATACAAAATGTTCTTCTTATTAAAAATAATGCTCTCAATCCCTTGGATTTGGTCTGTAGCCCTATGGAATAATGAAAGTTGGAATGTCTAAAAAAACACGAAAAGTTAAATAAAGGGAAATGTCCACTCCTACTCTTTACATTTTTTTAAGTGAGATTTTTGCTATAGGGCGCATGTGCTCAATGGAGAGACAGAGAGAGACAGGGACAGAGACAAAAAGGGAGAAATCACCCCCCAGGAGGGATGGCCACACACAATCCCTTCTCCTCCATTCTCCTCTCAGGATCTTGGGTACAGGCACACACACACCTGGCTTGAGTTTTAAGTGCCTGGGTTCCCGACGAAAACTGTGGTTGACTACTTGTAAGTCCAGAGACATATCCATTATGCCATCTGCTGGTCCCCCACTCTTATTCTTTTATAAACGTGCACTAACCATACTGTGTTGTAGCTGAAGACATAAGCCTCCAAGCTGCTGTGTACATGGGGAGGATGACCACTAACACAATGGGAGTGACACTTCATAGCTTCCACTTAGACTGTGTTATAGTCAGAATTTCAGAAGACTTTAAAAATATGGACATAGAACAAAAGTGCAATTATGCCTGTAATCCACCTCTGTTCTCTGTTCTTTTGGCAGCTGTTGTGGTCATCATTTCCACTTGGAGTTACATGAGTTTTAAACGGGATTGCTATTTACATGTGGCAACACTCAGATTTCAGAACATAAACTTACTAATAGTCGAGAAGTGCTTCACTGGTAGGCATTTTGACTTCTTTTGGCAGTCCATCTTGCACATCCTTTTTATTTGCTTTCCCTGAGTTTTCCATTTTGTTGGTTAACTATTAAGAAATATACCTGTTTAGAAAAGAGACATAGGGAAAGGGAATAAATTTGTCGTTGACTCTCTACTTTGTTTGCTTTAGATAAGGAACCACTGGGACTTAATTTAAATTTTTTTTAATTTTTATTCTGACTGCTTCAGTGATCTACTACAATTCCGGAAAATCACACAGCAATTGTATTCTTGAATCTGGAGAGTTCCATGGTACAACATTCCTCCTACCCAAAACTTTCCAAGAGACTCACATCCAATGTTATTCATCTACATTTGTTGCCCTCATCAAGCTCCTTTAAGGTCAAAGGACTGAACATTTTCTACCATTTGTTTCTTCCTTGGCAATGCTCTTAGCATGACTTAATAAATGCATATAAGGTTTTTAAAAATTCAAACCAACCCAAACTGCAATTCCCTATAAGCACTAAGAAGCTAGGAACTAAAAGAATTAGAATTAGGATCCAAAAGTATTAAGTTTGGCCAGGGATGTTATAAAGAGCAAGTAAAGGGGTTGGCAGGTGGTGAGGTAGTTAGAGTCCCTGGACTCCCACATGGCCAACCACGGTTTGTATCCCGGACCTGGTAGCTTGCTTTCTCACTTTCCTCTCTCTCTGTCTCTCTCTGGTCAATTAAATAAATAAATAAATAGCTAAGTAAAATAATTTTTTAAAAAAAGAGCAAATAAAAGCACACATCAAAGTATTTTTTAAATTATCAAGAGATTTACAAATTCAAGTATTAGCATGTTATTAACAATGATAGCCCACCAGTTTTTATACCTAATAAAGAATTATCAGGCAGGAATAATATTTTCTAAAAGGGAAAATCAGAGTCTGCTGTTATGGATGTTTGTAGTAAGCAGGAATACTTCATAGATATGTTTTGAGTATTAAAATACTATGCTTTTCAGATTGTAATTTTCCTTAACCGATATTTATCTTTTAATTCCCACTAATCTCACAAGAATAAATGCTTAGCCTTTAATGTACTAGTGATTCATTGTGGCAGAAAGCACATAACCTTTATAATTATTTGTTTAGATGACAGGAAACTCCATGAGAGTGGGGATGAGTCAATTCTGGTCCATTACTATATTTCACCACTTAGAACAATAGACACATAATAAATCCTGGTCAAATGAATGCATGAATGGATGGATGAATAAATTAGGCAGAAATGTGTCTTAATCCTAGATCTGCGTGACCCTGCATAGGTTACCTAATCTCTTTGCACTTCAGTTTCATCATCTATAAAGTGAGAAAAATAACAATCTCACCATAAGAGCCACTGTAAGAATTAAATAAGCTAATATGTAAAGCATCTAGCATAGTGTCCGGTATAAGTACTAGGCCCCTTCCTCTTTCTCTTCAGGTATATCTCTGATAATGGGTCTTCGAACTTTCTGTAACTAAAGCAGAGAATGTCTACCTCTGCCAGGTACGATGATGTGTGTAAACACTAATCCATGAGATTTGCTGTTGTCAACCTTCACTGTTGATTTGGGTCATTGCATTAGCAATTTACACAGACCAGTCAGATCCACAGTAGAAACACTCACTGAAATAAAAACACATTTTTTACACTCTAACACAATGCCCATACATCTAGACCTCTAGTGAGGCTGTCTTTGTATTTGAGACCTTTCTTTTCTAGCCAAGTGTATGCATATATATATATATGCACACACACACACACATACATACACGCACATATATATATATATAGGGTAATACATATATATATATAGAGAGAGTAATATATTAGTATCTTCTCAAGTATGAAAGCTTTGAGAATAATTTAACAAGCTTAATACCAGAATGAGTCATCATTATACCATCACAGTTTATAGAAAATTCTCAGGTGAAAAAAATTACTTTCATTTCAGATGCAAATTTGAATTTCTATATTCCTATTTTAGAATTAATTTTTTTTTTTTTTTTTTTTTTTTTTTTTTTTAGGTTTTCACTATTGCTTGCCAGAGACAGAGACAAAGAGAGGGAAAGTGAAAAATCAACCCCTGGCTGGGACGGCCACACTGTCATCTCTTTTCCTCCATTCTCTTAGAATTTTAGGCATGCATGCACACACACCCAACATGATTTTCAAGACACTGGTCAGCCAGAGTCCAGTGCCTTAACCACCACACCACCTGCTGGCCCCTACAATTAATTTTTTTTTTTTTTTTGGTGGGGTTTTGCTATAGGGTGTGTGAGTTTGCCAGAAAGACAGAGAGAGACAGAGAGACAGAAAGCGAGAAATCATCCACCAGGGGGGATGATCACACCACAATCCCTTCTCCTCCATTCTCCTCTTGGGATCTTGGGCACACACGCACACGCGCCTGGCTTGACTTTAAGCCACTGGGTCTGGGACTCGAACTTATGTTGACTACATGGGAGTCCAGCGATGTAGCCATTACACCATCTGCTGGTCCCTAGAATTAAAAATGTTTAACTTGACTATTGCACAGAAAAATAGCATGCTGACACGTTTTATTTTAATACAATAACTTACTATTGAATGATAATTTTTACTATAAAACAATCTAAAAGTTAAAACAAATGTCAATGTTATTCTCTTTCTAAGTCATGTGGAAAAGATCAAATGTTATGGTTTCCACCTGCGGACTCATCTGGCACTGATGGGAAAATGACCTCATCTTGCTCAATTACCTCATTTACCTGGCTCTTACGCGTTTAACTCTCTGACTAATGTATAAATATAATTAGTTACCTAATTGCAGCTCATGGTAAAGGATTTTAATATGAGTAAAAATGTGTATCGAGTAAAGCACAAATGACTTATACATAAACTAGATTAAAATTCATTGTTTCACATACTTTCAAGAAAATTCGTAGCTAACTGGAATTGTCTACTGAACAGCTGCTTCTTTGCAATGAGCTAATGACGGGATCTCAAAATGTACTTTTTGCAATTGATAATGTCCTGCAAACATTGAGGACTTTTCACATACAAGGATTTACAGTTCCTTACCACCAGGCGGTTTCTATCTCAGTAAAGGATGAAAATTCTAGAAAAAGAGTCACAAAGAGAATGTAATTATCTTCCCGGAAGGTCACAGTTACAATAATACCTGACACATGGACACCTAATCTGCAAACATCTATTCAGTGCCTGCTTTGTTGTGTGACAATTTACCTGGTTCTCAGTTATAAAATATAGAAGAGCCAAGATCCCTATTCAGACTAATAGTATATAGAAACTGAAGTTTTAAAAAATTAATGAGCAACTCTAAAAGACTTCCACAAAATCACTCAATGCTGTGGCGATTTTCACCCAGAATGTGAATGCTCTCTTGCACCCACATGTGTGTTTTCTCTCCCAATTCTGTTTGGGTACTCTATAATATGGAGTGTGGGCAGGTGGACAGGCTGGGTTTGAAAGATTCACACCTCCTACCTTCCCTCCCCCCCCTCCAGAGGTTTTTGCCATAGGGCATGTGCACTCGCCAGAGAGACAGAGAGACAGGAAGTGAGAAATCACCCCCTAGTGGGGGATGGCCACGCCACAATCCCTTCTCCATTCTCCTCTCGGGATCTTGGGCACGCATGCACACGCGCCCAGTGTGAGTTTTAAGCCACCGGGTCTGGGACACGAACCGCGGTCAACTACATGGGAGTCCAGCGACACAGCCATTACGTTAACTGCTGGTCCCATACCTCCTACCTTTTCAAGATCTATTACATAATCATTTTTGTCAGAAAATGTTTCAAAAAATATTCCTCAGATGCTTCTCAGGGAGAAAGTAAGAAGCCTATTCAGTAAAAATGGGACTGTAACAAGCATATTGTTATCCCATAATGCTTGGACTCTGCAAAAGTACCTACTTTTGCAATATAGAATGTGTCCTTCCTGTGTAGCTTTAGAATCCTGGCTCAGTATCTAGAAAGCTCCTAATAATTTCTTTCATTACTTTTTTTTCCTTCAGATTTGTTTTTTTTTTGGGGGGGGGTTCATAGGGTGAGTGTGCTCATAAGAGAGAGACAGAGAGAGAGAGAGAGAAGAAATCATTCTGGGGCTATGTCACAATATCGTCTCCTCCATTCCTGAAATTTTGGGGATGCATGCATATACCCCCAATGTGTTTTTCAGACCGCTGGGCCCAGGACTTGAACTGCAGAGTTGGCCATGTGAGATCCAGTGCCTTAATCACCATGCCACCTACTGGCCCTCATGACTTTCTAAAGTCATGAATATCAAATGGACATCTACTGACTCCTTTCACAATTTTGTGAAGACTGGGAAGGATGGCAGTTGTGCCCTAATACCTTTTTGGACATAGGAAATGGATCCTGAGATTTGTTGGTTACTGGTTCATGTAAGTGTAGAGTAAAATGGAAGATATTTACTTAGTAAAATTAGTAATGACAAGAGTTCTAAATACATTTCCATCATGAGATGAGAGTGTGAGGTAGTAAATAGATCTCTATACATGAGTAATATGAGTCCTGAAGTCTAGCCCTGGTTCAGCCTAACTAGCATGCCCTGCCATTACTTGCACATTTTTGAACTGCAATTCCCAAATTATATTGGATTCTTAGCTACAAACTGTGAGTCTCATAATAACAGTAGTAGTAGTAGTAGTAATACAGCCCTTCCAAAAACCTTATTAAAGAGCAATCTAGGGGCTCTAAGGTGGTGTGGTGGTCAGGGTGCTGGATTCCCACAAGGCTGACTGTGGTTCAAGTCCTGGACCTGATGGCTTGCTTTCTCACTTTGGAAAGCTAAATTACTTTTAAACTCAAATTCTCACTTATGCCAGAGCAAACTTTTAGTACAATTAGAAATACTCTCCAGAATGTTTTGGAAAAACCATGAATTCTTTTATAGATTTTTAGTAGTAATAATGCCATCTAAAGCTTTAAAACATTTCAGACCTCTTTTTGTATGATTATGAAGCCCCAAATAGTTAGTATTCAAATGTAAAATTCATCCAGTTTGGAGATGTAATATTAAAACCACATATTCAAATCCAGATGTTTAAAAATATCTGATTGACGTTTTCAACTTTCACTTGGATGATTGATGATGTACATTAAATTAGCATGTATTTTCTTTACCCATGCAAATCCTTTAGTTGGAGGAATATTTTTGAAATGCAGTTTCCAAATTATACTGGATTCTTAGTGTTAAAATTGGTCTGTCGTCTGATCCAGAATTGCAATAACAAATAGTTTTAAAATGCAGTAACCAGAACAGTTTCCAATTCCGATTGTCCTTCAATTTTAGAAATATCAAAAGAGTAAAAAAAAAAAAAAAAACACACATGAAAAAATACTGTGAGGATACAGGCCATACTTCATACAGCAAAGATGGAGAACATAAAGGCTTCTTTGTACCTTTAAGAAGCTGCAGTGAATATGGAGAGAATCTACCAGGATCAGTTCTTGAAGGTGGCTGTAAAGAAAGCCATGAACAATTATCACACCTGCTGATAAATATTTAGACTTATTATTTGCCTTCCCTGTCTTCACAGAAATCTTTCTTTTAAAAAAAAATTTATTTTTTGGCTTAGATGGGGCATCTTTTCCCATCTCCTAACCATGTCCTCAATTCTCTCTCTACCCAGCACAGAATTATGGAATAGAGGGATGCAAGGAAATAACATTTATACAAATCTAAAGAACTTGTGAAAGAAGGAAATCAAGTCTTCTCTTTAGAAGGACGGTGTAACTTCCAGAGGAGGAGATGAAACCAATCTGTGGGTGGGGAGTGTGAGGGTAAAGGGCCCTCCACAACAAAGGACATGTGAAACCCTACCGTGGGACGAACACTGTGCTGGCATTGAAAAGGATGCAAGAATGTCTGAGGTCCTCAGTCAAAAAGCATTCAATATACAGGAAATTTCGTGAGGAGATAACTAAGAGAAGTATGACTAAGTCTAGTCATAGCTCCTCGATTGAGACACCCCCCCCCCCCCCAAAATACGGTCTGCGTGCTTGCTGAAGAGAGACAGAAAAGTTAAAAAAGTTAAATCACTCCTCAGGGGGAATGGCCACCTGGCAATCCCTTTTCCTCCATTCTCCTCTGGGACTTTTGGCCAGCAGGCACATGTGCCTGGTGTGAGTTTTAAGGCCTCCAGGAATGGACTGGTATGGAGTATATGGGAATCCAGCCGTTTAACCATTACACCATCTGCTGGTCCCTCCACTGAGTTTTGTAACCTTGGTTAAGTCTCTGAACCTATCAGGCCCTCAGCTTCTTCTTTTCATCTTTCCTATCTCCCCTCAAGGCTTTGGGAAAACCTGTCAAGTGAGGAAACCCCATGTAAACGGAAGGCATTATTAGGAACTGTGTCAGAGCACAACCTGAATCAAATTCACATCCTGCTCTGGAGAGAAAATCTAGGAAGGCAAATATGCAACTATCCAGGGGTTCTACTACGAAGCCAGAGAGTTTTAGGTAAATACTCTTATTAGGTAAAAAGGCCTGCTTCTCTGTCTGGGTGAAGAGAGGCGGGCCTATGAGAACCTTTCCAGTCAGCTCCTAACGGTTAGACCCAGGAGCAGAGCTGGCGGAGGAGACCAGCTGGGCGCGACCCCAGGCCATGTCGGGGCGGAGCAAGGCCCGGACCCGCGGAGACGCCTCGGCAGGTGCGCAACGGGACTCCAGTCTTCACTGTCAGACTGCAAGGAATGAGGCACGAGCGAGAGGGCCAGCCAGTCTCCTGACATTCCCTCCACGGCTGCCAGGAATGGCCCCACTGCCAAAGGCCGGTACCTCACACTCCAGGCCCTCGGCTGCACAAGCCCACCGGCTCCTCCTGCGCCGCCACCGAGCCCGCGGTTTCCAAGGCGACCGGCGACGTCCCACTCACGTCAGCGCCAGCTCAGGCTCTAGCGGCGGGCGGAGCGCGCCCCCTGGCGGCGTACGAGGGCGGGGGGACCCGGCGCCGACGGTGTCCTCCCGCCGTCCTCAGCGCGCCCCTCGCCGCGGGTGTTTAAGATGCGCTCGGCTCCTCGCCGCCCGGTAGCTGCGAGGCCGGAAGTGGTGAGTGTGAGGGGACGCAGAGCCGAGACTGTACGCCGTCACTTTTGTCTATGTCTGTCCTCCGCCATGAGAGGAGCTGCCTGCATCTGTCGGGGCGGAGTCTCAAACCCCGCAGCCGAGCGACCCTGGCCAGGGTCCGGCTGCGTTGCTCTCCTGCCGCGGCGGCTTCTCCTCCTTATGGTCTGGTGTTTTCCCTGAGGTTCTTTTAGTTTGAGCCCCGGATAGAACGGCAGAAAAGCCATCATTCTGCCTGTTTGCCTAGCTTTGCTTTTGCTCCTAAAGCTCAAGAAAACGAAGACCCCCTCCCCTCCGCCATCATACTTGATGTTTTTGCACTCTTCCTTTAGTGAAAACCATCCCAGCGTCGTTTTTCCAAGTTCCCTTTCCTCCCTGAATTTCTTCTCATTTTTGCCTCAAAGACCATTTCTGGACTCTGGAAGCACCTCTTTCTCCTAGTTCCACCCGAACATACTCTTTATTCCTTTGGAAAGGCAAAAGGGAGGCCTTCTTTTCCTATTTATACCACCCATTTGATATTCTTTAGTTTTGTTTTCGTCATAGAATGAGTGCGCTTGCAGGGAGAGAGACAGAGGGTGTGAGAAATCACCGCCCCCCCTCCGGATTTTGGGCACACTTGCACGGGCGCCTGGAGATTTACATACTGCCATATCCCAGGAGGTGCCTTAACCACCACGCCACCTGCTGGCCCTTGAGTTTGTTTTGTAGAACACAAATTATCTGTTTGGAGTTACGCTGTTGTATTAGTAAGAACTTGAAGAGAACGGAGGCAGTAAGTAAAAATGTTAGTTTTTGGTTAAGGGACTTTTTCACCTCGGTGCAAAGTCACTCAAAAATTAACCAGTTTGAGGTTATTAATATGTTCCACCTCATTTAAACCTCTCTTTATTCTACCAGTGCTATGCATTTGTTCAAAGTTTAATTTGCTGTGATCTATACTTCTGGAAATAGGTTGGTTTTAAGTTAGTTTTCCCAAAAATAGTAACAACAGGTAGGATCATGTGGTAAAACTATTAAAAAGAGTGAAAATTCAGGAGAAAAAGAGCTATCACCTATATATATATATTTAAACCATTGAGTGTTCCTTTTTGTTTTTTAGTTAAATGGAAGAACTATTTGTGATTCTTTAGCATTTTTATTTCATTCCCACATTGTTTCCTATAAATCTTAGGTCTGTTTCTTTTTTTGGAAGTCTGGGCCCACGGTCAAGCATGTACTTTTACCCTATCATTTATCTCCTGCACATTTTCCCTATGGTGTTTGCCAGTTGGTGGTCAAACAGAGAAGCCAGATAAAAACCATTTGCTGAATTTCCTCTTTTTTTTTTTTTGGAGAGGTTTTTTCGCTATAGGGCGCGTGCGCTCGCCAGACAGACAGAGAGAGACATAGAGACAGAAAGCAAGAAATCACCCCCCAGGGGGGATGGTCACACCGTAATCCCTTCTCCTCCATTCTCCTCTCGGGATCTTGGGCACATACGCACACACACCCAGCGTGAGTTTTAAGCCACCGGGTCCGGGACGCGAACCGCAGTCGACTACGTGGGAGTCCAGCGACATAGCCATTACGCTAACTGCTGGTTCCCCTGAATTTCCTCATTTTACTTTTATTTTCTGTCAGCTTTGCCATGTTGAGTGATTCCAAAGCAAAGGTAAGGAAGTATGGTAGAAAAAGCTAAAAATACTGTCTATTTTTGGTGAAACCACAAAGAACCTGTTTGGTGTGAACAATTGCTAAACATCTTATAGGGTTTTTTTTTTTTTTGACATTTAAATATCATAAAGGTTTGTTTTTGCTTTATATTTACCTGTTTTCATTGAGGACTACCACCCCTACAAACAAGCCCTAAACTAAATATGTTAATATTAAACCTCACAATAATTTCTGGAGACCTGAACTAGAGATTAACTCATTGGCATTGCAAGCCTGTTCAGGCTGGTAATAAATCACACACTTTATGACAGCAAAGTTATGTTTGAGAAATAGAAAATCTCTGCTAAAACTTCTAATTCGAAAACTTTGTTCCTGACAAATTTAAAGAATTAAATTGGTGCTTTGCAAGAAAACAAAAAGTCATGAAGTAAAATACTCTCTTGAGAGAAAAAGAGTTTGTGCCACCTTTAGAGAGATACATGACAAACTCACAGAGGGGGTTATTCAATATCCCTTGTCAAATCCCAGTATTATATAATGGAATTGTTTTCATTTTTTAGGATAAGGATAACAATTTTCCTCTTTAAGCCAGAGAATTATCCCTGCGATCTACTTTGTTAAAATTCATCTCTCCAAACCAAGTTTGACTTAAATAACCAGAACTCTGGTAAAAAATGATATCACATTTCTTTTTCCTCTTGCCTCCTCTGCCTCACTAATTTTTTTTTTTTTTAGAGGTTTTTGCTATAGGGCGCGTGCGCTCGCCAGACAGACAGAGACAGACAGAGAGACAGAAAGCGAGAAATCACCCCCCAGGGGGGATGGCCATGCCGCAATCCCTTTTCCTCCATTCTCCTACTAATTTTTGAAATTAGTTTTTTCCTTCGACTACGTGGGAGTCCAGCGACATAGCCATTACGCTAACTGCTGGTTCCCCTGAATTTCCTCATTTTACTTTTATTTTCTGTCAGCTTTGCCATGTTGAGTGATTCCAAAGCAAAGGTAAGGAAGTATGGTAGAAAAAGCTAAAAATACTGTCTATTTTTGGTGAAACCACAAAGAACCTGTTTGGTGTGAACAATTGCTAAACATCTTATAGGGTTTTTTTTTTTTTTGACATTTAAATATCATAAAGGTTTGTTTTTGCTTTATATTTACCTGTTTTCATTGAGGACTACCACCCCTACAAACAAGCCCTAAACTAAATATGTTAATATTAAACCTCACAATAATTTCTGGAGACCTGAACTAGAGATTAACTCATTGGCATTGCAAGCCTGTTCAGGCTGGTAATAAATCACACACTTTATGACAGCAAAGTTATGTTTGAGAAATAGAAAATCTCTGCTAAAACTTCTAATTCGAAAACTTTGTTCCTGACAAATTTAAAGAATTAAATTGGTGCTTTGCAAGAAAACAAAAAGTCATGAAGTAAAATACTCTCTTGAGAGAAAAAGAGTTTGTGCCACCTTTAGAGAGATACATGACAAACTCACAGAGGGGGTTATTCAATATCCCTTGTCAAATCCCAGTATTATATAATGGAATTGTTTTCATTTTTTAGGATAAGGATAACAATTTTCCTCTTTAAGCCAGAGAATTATCCCTGCGATCTACTTTGTTAAAATTCATCTCTCCAAACCAAGTTTGACTTAAATAACCAGAACTCTGGTAAAAAATGATATCACATTTCTTTTTCCTCTTGCCTCCTCTGCCTCACTAATTTTTTTTTTTTTTAGAGGTTTTTGCTATAGGGCGCGTGCGCTCGCCAGACAGACAGAGACAGACAGAGAGACAGAAAGCGAGAAATCACCCCCCAGGGGGGATGGCCATGCCGCAATCCCTTTTCCTCCATTCTCCTACTAATTTTTGAAATTAGTTTTTTCCTTTTTTTTGAGAAGTTTTTGCTAGAAGGGGCATGCACTTGCCAGAAAGACAGATAGAAAGCGAGAAATCACTCTCCAGGGGAGATGACCACGCTGCAATCCCTTCTCCTCTATTCTCCTCTCAGGATCTTGGGCAGGCATGCACATGTGCCCGGCGTGAGTTTAAGCCACTGGGTCCAGGACTCAAACCACAGTCTACCACATGGGAGTCCAGCGACATAGCCATTAAACCAACTGCTGGTCCCTGAAATTACTTTTATAATCTTATTTTCCTCTGAGGGAAGCAGACTCAGGCTAGTCGGTGGGACACAGAGTTTCATGTCCCAGGAACCTGGGCCAAGTAATGTGAATTGTGCCTGAGAGCTTTAGTAAGTGACATGAGGGGAGTATTCAGAAAGGATGAATTTGCTGTATGCTTGCAGCAGTTTTAGATTTGACTACAGGGCCAGCCATGGCATGGTACTTAAGGTGGTTGGATCCAAAATGACCAACTGCATGGTCCTAGACATAGTGGCTTGAAAAATAGGCCAGGCGCATGTGCGTTTTTGCCTAAAATCCTAAAAGGAGGGGAGATGGGATTACATCTGACTATTCTTCATAGGAGGTACTTTCTCCATTTCTCTCTCTCTCTCCCCCCTCTT